CAGTATATAAACACCTGTACTTTTAAAACCCTCCAGAATATATTTGACAGGAAAGACGTTTTTAAGAGTGCAATTTGTTCCTGTTTTTATATTTTAAAGGTACTATGCATATACCAAAATAAACATTATTTGCCAAATGCACCAGAATTTATTTTTTTCTATCCATTATTTTATTTTAATAATATTCATTAAAATTTTATATTCTTTTTTTCTTAATAGAATAAGAACATTTTATATTAACATAGATTCTACATAAACTTGATTTTTAATACCAAATTCTAATCCATAAACTGGATTTGCCATTGATATGTATTCCCATTATTGGTCATTTAGTTTGCAAATTATTTTTTTCACCATTTTGTGAAACATAATATTGAGATCAACTTCTTAGTACACAAAATACTGAAAGTTTGAATTACGTGCTTATATTTCACTCATTCATTCCTTTACAAGTACTGAATGTGTACCCACTATTGCTGGTGGTCCAGAGATGAATACTTCCTGCTTTAAGAGAACTCACAGTACATCTAGTAGGGGTCAAATAATAAAATCACCAAGCAGAGTGATAAAGAAGATACAGAAAAGCTTCCAGGATATATGTAGGTGCAAAGGCACTGGGGTTAGTGATAATGTTTATTACTAGGTTATAAAATATGAAGATTGGGGAATGGAAAGTGATTTGATCACAAAGGTAGGAAGAAAGCCAGTTCTTGAAGGTTCTTGGCTATTACACTAGCATTCGAGTTAAATTTAACTTGAAAGTTAGGGGATCCCATTAAAATATTTGTATGCATAGGAATGATAAGATCAGATTAGATTAGATATAGACTGTTGTGAACAATGCAAAATATTTTTTTCATTCAAATAAACAATGAAATAAGCATTTTAACACCCATCCCACATCCTGAGGGAATAATATTTTATAGAAATGTAAAAGAGTGGCTAGAAGTAAACGGCATGACATGATTTTAGGAGTTGAACAAATCAAATAAATGTATGTATAAAAAATAATCAGCATTTTACAAAGCTCTAAGATGTGCTCAGAGAGAAGTCCTTCATCTTCATTAATGTAAATTTATTTTGGTTCTCATGCTTACTGGCCATTGTTAGTTTAATAGAAAATTTGTAAAAATTTTAAAAGAAAATCATGAAGACAAATTTATATATATATGTGTGTATGTATGTATAGATATTTAGAATATATATATTTAAAATGCACATATATAGTCTTTGTCTTATAGAGTTTAACAACTTAATTTAAAAATTTGGAATGTTCAATAATATAAAAGAACTTCTATTATGCATATTAAAACACTGAACCCACTCCTAAGAATGTGTTTCAGCATTTATGATGAAATTCTAAAAATATGATCTATCTGGATAGGATATAGTTTTATATAAAAATAAAATCCATTCTATGGGTTAAATACAGAGCATGAAAAAAGTATCAGCTTATCCACAAAACTGGAAAAGAAAGTTCACTTAATATAATGTCTAGTCTTTGTTAAATTTCTTCAAAGCACAAAGTTAGTAAATAAAATTTACCTTTAATTTTCAGATTTTTCAATGTTGCAAAGGGATGAATGCATAATGCTTATTTTACTTTATGTATAATTATATTCAAAACCTCCAAACAGATTTCCCCAGACCAATTTAATGGGAATGACCCAGAGGTGAAGTTAATCACCATAAAGCAAGTAACACTCTGTCAACAGCTTACAGCCTTCATGATCAGATAGAAGGCCAGTTGCTTCATCACTTTCTCTCTGTCCCCAGGTTCTACAGTATTAGATGCATTGTAGATACTGCCATTAGATGCAAGAATGGAAATTTCCTGTGTTGGCCGGGACATAAAAATATATAAAAGAAAAACTCAATAACATTTCCATATGACTTTAAGATCTTAGTTGTGTCTTCATGGGCATAATATGTCTGTAGCTGACCAATACATTTTTTTCCTGATTCTATTGTTTTTATTCAATGAAAATTTTTTAAAAAGGCAGAACTAAGCTGATCCTACCTGCCAAAAACCTCAAGATGTGAATGTCTTTGCTTACAGTGTAAATGGAAGTGTCCCAATTCACTTCACTTCCCAATATAAGGCACTCACACGCCTCCATGTTTTCTTAGAACACACTAAGGTGCTCCTAAAATGATGCCAATACCTATAATCCTTTTATATATCAATACTTATACTTAAAAGATTTTCTTTTCAGTAGCTCAATATATTAGCTCTGGGCTAACATAACTAAGATTAGATATTTTCTGAGGAAAGAAAAAAATGCAGTAAAAGTAGCCCTGAGTAATTTATTCTGTGACTACATATATGTTCAGCAGAAGTTTTCTGAATATTATGTATCTGTCATTTTTTGTGTTGTAGTTGGCAAAATGCCATCATTTAAATTAGTTTATGCAACTATACCTATTCTGTAAAAAAGTTCCTTATGACTATGAAGGCTTCAAATTTGACTTCAACACTAACATTTATACCTCATAAAAGTAACATTTATTTTAATCCTACCTTTAGCTATGCATAATAATAATATAGAAATAAAACATATGCTAGCATTATACATAATATCTATTGATATATTTATCAGGTCATAAAGGAGCCCCTGAGGCATAGAAAACTAGGAGGAAATTGACCAAAACTCTGTCCCAAATTTTTACCTTCAAAGGCCTGTTTCTCTGTGCTAGAAAATGAATATAATAAGTCATATCTGTTTCCCTAGTCGTTTATTTGGAAATTATTTGAAGACATTGCGTGTTCGCGCACGAGGACGGTGGAGTCTGCCGCGCACGCGCGAGGCGCAGCCCCGCACGCAGGTGGCGTTTAGGCTCCGCACAGCCCTCGGCCTTGGGGACTGCAAGCCGGCCCTTCTCCCCGTGCCGAGCCTCGCGTCCTGCTGCAGGGCTGCCTGTGTGGAGAGGACGGGTTTCTCATTCATCTGCCTAGAAGCAGTGATTTCTCTCTAGCACGCCTGTCCTGAGAGGCGCCTTTGAACACTCTGCTGATGTCTGTCTCAAGGCCCTGCATTGCTGGCCCCGCGGCGCACACTTCTTGAGGGCCTTCGGGTTCTGGTAGGAGGCATACTTACTTCCTCCGGCTCAAGGGAAAGGGCAAGTCACGTACCTGGCACTCAGCTATCCTGTATTGATCTCCCATAGAGTAAACTGCAATCCACCAGTGCTCTGGGATTACCCAGAAAAGTAATGATTTGGCTGACATTGTGCTGCCTTTTTAGAAGATAAACTAAAGGTCTAAATGGTTTAGGTTACATGGTATGCAATGATCACAGATATAATTATTATTTAACCCACACATGTATATATTATAGATGTAGGCATGTTTTTATACTACAGATTGTGGTGGGACTATGCTCAGAGCTGTTGAGAGGGAACTGAAGGAAAGATCCCAAACCTATAGCTGTTCCTTTGCCTTCTGCTTGGCCACCCTCCTTGTCTCTTCTCATCCCACTCTCAAACCAAAGTAAAAGATACTATAAAATTATTCAAAGTACCCTCCTCTCTATATCCCTTCTTTTCTCATTGCTGATGCTAGTCTTCCCTTTTTATAATTGATGATGTCTCTGCCACCAGCCCAGACTTTCATGTTGGACATGACCAGCATGAACGCTCTGAGCTTCCTAATTATCATTTTTTTTTGAGACAGAGTCTTGCTCTGTCACTCAGGCTACAGTGCTGTGGCGTCAGCCTAGCTCACAGCAACCTCCAGCCCCCAGGCTCGAGCAATCCTCCTGCCTCAGCCTCCTGAGTAGCTGGGACTACAGGCATGTGCCACCATGCCCGGCTAATTTTTTCTATATATTTTTAGTTGTCCAATTAATTTCTTTCTGTTTATAGTAGAGATGGGAGTCTCGCCCTTGCTCAGGCTGGTTTCAAACTCCTGACCTTGAGGGAACCGCCTGCCTCAGCCTCCCAGAGTGCTAGGATTCCAGGCATGAGCCATGGCGCCCGGCCCCTAATTATCATTGCATGACAGTCCAAAGACCCTAACTAAGGGGCTGTTCAACAGGGACCCAGAAGATTTGTGATTTCTTCTTAATCCTTCATGACTCATCTGGCTTTAAGCTTGCTGGATGATTTGATTATTTTATAATGTCAAACAATAAATTAAATTAGATTCTTAAATCTTATACAGATGTTTATCTTTTTGTACTCATGGGAAATTTATATATAAGACTTTAATAAAGAGAAAGAGAAATTAGCACATATTTACTAGATTTTTTAAGTGTAAGATGAATGGTAGAAGTCTTGTCCAGGCTGTGTGTTCACACGGCCACAAGCCAAGTGAACAGCACACACACCGTCATGTGCACCTCCTGTAACCAGACTTTGCCATACCAGAGAAAGTGGAAAAGTCAGTTTTCTGAAATCTGGTGAAAGGTGGTAAAAGTCCCATTGTTTTTCTTACAGAAGATGACAGTCGTTTAGGAGTAAAGCTTTCTAGAATTCTTGCGCTCTTCTTCAGAGGTGATAAGAATAAAGGTCTGAGTTATACTCAAAATAAGTATAATTTCCATAACTCACTGTAGAGAGCTGATGATGTACAACTAAATGACAAAATGCGCATGCATGTTTATGTGCATGTTTATGTGCTTTCAGGAAGGCCCATTAGGGAGATTGGACTCCTAATGTTTTATGCAAATACAGCTTTCAACCACTTAATGCTAAAAGATGGCCACAATCCTTTACAAAGATATCTTCAATTAATATCTTGTAAGTTATGTTGCCATAATAACTTCATATATAAAACTTGTCATTTAATTTCTAACAAGGAAAAAAATTATTATTCATCTTCTTTAAGCCTAGAGGTACATTTTATTATGCAAATTAAAAATAATATCATCTTCTTTGATCTAACCTAAAATTTGTTTAAAGTATCTTTAAAAAGTATAACAAATCTATGAATACCTCCTAAATTCATTACATAAAGGCCTACAATAACACTTCTTTATATGTTTATTTGCTCTTTTCAGGAGAAAGGAAGACAACAGTGTCCTGCACAAAAATCATGAGCAAAAATATCAGCATTGTGGACAACAAGAAATGCAAATATTTAACCAAGCCAGAGCCACAGATTCGAAAGTGTAATGAACAGCCATGTCAAATGAGGTAACCCTATTCCAGAGATCATAAAACTTTTCCTATCTTTGTATTCCTGCTTTAACAATGCTATCACCAGGCAAATATGTGTTTCTAAAAGAATTGGAGGGAAGAATGATATGTAAAAGGATGGGCAATAGAGAAAAGTATATTAATATGTGTTCAATAATGGTCATATGCATGGCCCCTTCCTGCGTGAATGCTTTTCAGCCTAACTCCGTAAGTGTGTGAACTGCTACAACTTTTTCATGATGCAGTATAGTAATCAGGCGGGAAACCAGGGGATTACTGCTGCCTACAGTCCCGTCCTTGGGTCCTTTCCATTCAGTGATGGGCAGATATAGAAACAGTGTTTTTGGCCTTTGCCCTGTCAACTAAAGAACCTGGATCCTTATTGTTACAACTCTTCCTGAGTATTCTTTTTCTTTGCCTATTTCCTTTAGTCATTACAATCCTTAATTATCTTGTGTGAAATACTTTCTTAAAATATTTCAAAACACCATTTTATATGACATATCATTTTTCCATTTTGATGAAAGAACCATGGATATTTTTGATACATCAGGAATCTTGAATGAGCTGGATTTAAGGACTAGAGCATATTTCTCACTTCAAAACTTGGTCTGCGAAGGAGCAGAGTATCCAATCCTCGCCACTTATTGTTCATTCACTGACCTCAGCGATCTTGAGGAAAAATGCCTCAATAATGGCTTGGTAAAGTGAATAGTTTTAAAAGGTCAGTACATTTCTGAGTGAGAATTTTTTGCAGCTGGAGGCTGAAAGTCTTTTTGTTAGAGATTATTATCTTCCTTCCTTTGGAAAGGGAGGTAGTATATTTGGAAACACCATGAAATGATGTTAGTGAGGTTAAGCAAAATATCGGAAAGTAAGAAATGGACGTGAGCAATAGTTAAGGGGCATCACAGGAAAACTTTCTAAGACTTACTGGCAGAGAACAACCTTTATTTCTTCTGCCTTTTCTCTTTCTCTAATCCAGTAAGAAACTTCTAATTTCCATTTATACTTACTGGAAAAGTCACCAAATGGCCCAATAGTACTCTATGTGCCAAATATAAAATAGACTGATGTAGTAGAAGACAGCTTTGTAAGAAGTGGGCCTTGTAGAGGTAAGGAAGTGAGATCGTTCCAAATTAGATAAATTCTAAAATATAAAAATATTTTCTCTCATTGAATATACTTCAGTTTTATTTTGAGCAGTTTTCACAAGGAATAGAAAAGTAACTTTTATAATTTATATTAAGGATTTAAATTACGATTATTTCCTGGATGTTCTTGCACAGAATATTAAGTGCAAACTAAACTAATTTTGGATGATAAATATTAGTAACCACCCACTAGCGCCGCGGTCCCAGCCCGGCGGGGCCTGCCGCCTGTTAGAGGTGGGCCGCCTGGCAAAACCTGACGTCACCCAGGAAACTTGGAAACGGGCTGGGGGGCGTGTGAGCTGAGCTGCATCTCTAATTACAGCCGCTCCCCATCGCTGGTACCCGAGCCTGAGCTTCGCCCCCACCCCGCCCCTGTGGCCGGAAAACTTGGCTTCCGTGAAACCCGTCCCTGGTACCAAAAAGCTCAGGGACTGCTGCACCAGGGGACGCCAAAGCAAAGTGCTGCGTCTGTACCCTGCTTGGTAGACCAGCAAACAAGACCCTGGGCAGAGTCAGCACTGGAACACCAATGTTATTGGAAGGTTTTATTTTTTCAGAAATAGAAGCATAAAATTATTTACAATTAAAACTGTTTTACAGATGAGAAAACTAGGCTGCAAGAGGATGTTACTTCTCAAAATGTGGATCATTACTAGAAATATTTGGGCTTAGATAACTGTAGAATAATTAGAGGTATTTCTGTAAAACAGAGAAACATAAATTCTATTTCAAGAAACATTTAATGAGAAGTTACTATGTGGAATGTGATATGGATGCAAAAAAGAACACAGCATCCATCTATGCCTTTGAGGAACTTATATACTAAAAAGGGAAAGAAGGCCTTTAAGCCCGTTCACTGCTCCAGGGAGTATCTGCAAGTCATGCGAGTGCTACAGCCAGGTGAGGAGGGGAGGAAAGAAAGGTCAGCCCCTGCTGGGTAGCTGGAGAAGCCCCTCTTGCTGGGAGGAGCTTGGAGCTGACTGTAAGAAACTAGGCAGGGGATACCAGGTAAACAAGGCCATGAGGTGAAAATGGAAACTGTCTGGGGAAGAAGCTCAACATATGGTTTATCTTCCAAACAAGTGGTAGATGATGCTAGAAAAACATATGAATAAATATAAATCACTTTAAATATACTACAATATATATTATACACTATATGCTGAGTACCTATTGTATGTCAGGGAATAAAATAATAAACCCTTTTACAAATGAGACAATAGGAATGTACACCTGTTCAGTATTATTTTAAAAATATGCACAGCTAGTGGTGTACCCACAGTAGCTCAGAGCTTCTGGCTGCCCTGGACTGTGCTGAAGTAGTTTAATGTGGGTCACCCTGTAAGATTGCCCAAGGAATGGAAAACATAAGGAGGATTTTTATTGACAAGAATCATACAAATATCAAATTTTAGGAATCCTTTATATGGCATAATTCTTGGTTCTTTCCTGAAATAAATTTTGGGAGGTGTTTAAATTAGTGGACCTTAGGGTAGATCCTAATTCATTAAAGTGGAAGTGACATTAGATACATTGCACTGCTTTAATGATTGCTTGAGGGAGAAAAAGATTTCCATCTACCTATTAAAATCCATAAGTATTGGATGAGTGATTGAATTAGTAAAGTAAGTCAAAGAATAATATTGGAGTCCTGAGGTCTCCAAACAAGGCACTTTAAGTTTAACCCTGTGTCACTCCAGTATCTATGATCAAATCATATCTATCAATCATATCTATGATTAAAATATTTCAAAACACCATTTTATATGACATATCATTTTTCCATTTTGATGAAAGAACCATGGATTTTTCTGATACATCAGGAATCTTGAATGAGCTGGATTTAAGGACTAGAGCATATTTCTCACTTCAAAACTTGGTCTGCGAAGGAGCAGAGTATCCAATCCTCGCCACTTATTGTTCATTCACTGACCTCAGCGATCTTGAGGAAAAATGCCTCAATAATGGCTTGGTAAAGTGAATAGTTTTAAAAGGTCAGTACATTTCTGAGTGAGAATTTTTTGCAGCTGGAGGCTGAAAGTCTTTTTGTTAGAGATTATTATCTTCCTTCCTTTGGAAAGGGAGGTAGTATATTTGGAAACACCACGAAGTGATGTTAGTGAGCTAGATGGTGGTTAGGCTAACCACTAGATAATGGTTAAGCTAACCACAGCTAGATAGTGGTTAGGCTAACAAAGCATACTTAGCTCTATATGGAAGGATATAGCCCAGTCACAGAAATCTTTTTGCCAGTGATAAGCATAATGCCTTGGTGATGATTTCCGCTAGGCAAGAGGGATTCTCAGTCACAGGCTTCTGTTACTTTGCTAATACCTGCACAGTTCTCATCTTGAGGTAGTCTACAGCCTCATTTCAATTTCCGGCTCCACAATCTTGTGACTTATAAATGACTTAACCTCTGTATGCCTCAGTTTCCCTCTCTGTAAATGGCCATGATAGTTGTTGTACCTAACACATGGGGCTATTGTGAAGATTTAAAATACAAAGAATAGGAATAATTCCTGGATATTAGCAAATTTATACTTACAGTGTACCTAAATATGGCCATATGATGAATAGTAGAAGACAGCTTGTAGTGTGACATGATAGAATCTGATAGATACTCTGAGATTCTGACAAGAACAAGCCCCTGAGATAAGAAGTATGGAGGCTGAAAATTACCTATTGGGTGAAATATACACTATCCAGATGATGGGTACACTAAAATCCCAGACTTCACCACTATGCCATATATATTATACATGTAGCAGAATTCAACTTGTATCCCTAATGCTATTGAAATAAAAAAATGAAACGAAATTTAGAGCACTCAAGGAATAGAAATCATGGATGTCTTGGGGAAAACTATAATGTCAGTAAAAAATAAAAAGGATAAAGTTACTATGTAACATTCTGCAAACTCTAAACATGTCAAGGTGTATGGTACGTAGGTATCTTTTACCCTGTTTCCAGTGACTCTTGCTTTACTTTTAGGTGGATGATGACAGAATGGACCCCCTGTTCACGAACTTGTGGGAAAGGGGTGCAGAGCAGACAAGTGGCCTGTACCCAGCAACTGAGCAACGGGACTCTGATTCGAGCCCGGGAACGGGACTGCGTGGGGCCCAAGCCCGCAGCGGCGCAGCGCTGTGAGGGCCAGGACTGCATGACCGTGTGGGAGGCGGGGGTGTGGTCTGAGGTGCGGACACGCCCCGTTTCCCCCCAGGTCTTTCTCTGACTCTTAGCTTGTACAGGTTGAGTTAGATCATGTCTGGAATCTCTCTGCATGGCAGTTGGCATTTTTCTATGCTATCTAGTAATTTTGCTGATAATAAAAGGAATGCATTCAAATATAATTTTGAAAATAGAAAAAGACAAAAATATTTACTCTTTATAAATATTATAAGCAAGATTGTATTTTATATATATTTTATAATTCTGCTTTTTTTTGTAATCTATACTATGAGTCAACTCTTAAGTAAACACACATTAAAATGCACATTTGACTCATCACATATCCATGAACAACTAAAAGGGAAAGGAAAAAGGAAAGTAATATTTAAAAATTATTTTATGTGAGCATAAAGTGATTATACTTCATATTTAGTCTATTATTTATATTTAATAACCACTATAAAAAATGTAAGTTTCACCATTTTATAAGTAAGGGTAATATAGCTCAGAGAACTGAAATATTAATAGCTTATCCTAAGTCCTACCTAAGTGATAGTTGGGATCTGAACCCAAGATTGTGTGACTCTCTGCATCCCCCCAGCCCCCACCCCCCACTAGCTTATAACTTACAGTGTGTATTCCATGCCAAACCATAGTGATTTATTTTGCTATCATAATGCGTGTCTTTGCATAATAATAAAAGTTACTCATTGCTTGTATTTACTGACAGCCCTGAAGTATTTTAGGTGAGTGTATGGGTACATATATCCACATAAACTTAACTCATTTATATACTCAAACATATGTGCAAAGACACATCTGCACACACATGCAACATCCATCTACTTAATTTCAGAATATTAGATAGGATGTAAAAATGATAATTAAAATTGCTATGTTGAAGTAAGTAGCCACTGTTTTGAAAATTAGGATAAAGTGGCTTAGATAATATGGTTTCTAAATGTTCTTCAGTTAACCCAACTCCCTCAAAAAGCACATTAGCAAATAGCCCAACTTTATGTTCTCTTACTTTTCTGGGTTCTAACTTGCTGTTTAATAGATTCTTTTTCATTTGTAATGTATACTTTTGAAAATGAATGCCATATCATATTTAATATTGAAATGATTCAGTTCAATCTAGAGAGAAGATTCACATGAGCATTAGAGAAACAAGATGTCCCACCCCCAGCCCAACCTTAACATTTTTGACAATTCTTCAGGAGGAAATTGGTCAGAAATATTCTACTATACAGACTTTTGGCACTAGCTAAGAGAAATTATATGTCCCGATGCAATATGCCCATTAAAAAATGTCACTCTTGTTATGATTTAAAACTTGATTTCATCAATCAGGGATAGTTTCAATTACAAAAAGTAAAAATACAAATATTGAAATGACAAAATACAATGTGATTATTTAAAATGTCATTAGTTCCATGCTCGCGTTTCCAGGAACACGACTGCTGCCAAAGCCTAGCAGTGTGAGCAGGGCGTGAGCACAGCGTCTCCTCCCACCCTGGCTCGGAGCACTGAGCTGGGAGTCAGCATGCTTGTTCCTACATCGCAGTATTGCGAAGCGCACACCACGACTCCTGTGCGCCTTTTCCAGGCACAAACATAAATTGGACTTTCCAGTTGTGCAGTATCTGGCACACCCTGACTCACACAGAATGTAATCTTGGTCCCATGTCCGAGTGGTCAGCAGTAGCGCCTGCCTTTGGAAAACAGGGATGCTTTGTACATATTCAACAATAGGGAGAATAAATATAAGTGGGAGAGTAAACTGAACCAGAAAAGACTGGTGGAAAATCATACGTGCTTCAATATATTATGTCACCATCATTCATTACACATCAACTATCCATTGAATTAACTGAACTATTTTTGAACCAAATTACTTTTTCAATCCATATAGAGTGATGATTCCTAGGGATATATGATTATGTTACGACATTTTCATTTTATTTTTTCTAAGATTTTCTCTATTTGAGCTTTAAAAAATGTTTTTGAGAAATGATAGCCTGTGAACATTTGTTAATTTTTCACAAACATTTCTTCAGACCAAAAAAAAGAGTAAATTTTAGTGAAGATAACATGGATTTCTTTACATAATTACATTAAAAACTTGATATCAATCATATTTCAGTAATTTACATTTTGATCATTGTATGTTGTCTTTCTTAAATAACCCCTATTTATATTACTGTCCATAACAGTGGTTCAGTCACTCCTGAAACCAATTATCTCCAGCACTGCCGTAAGCTCCACCTGGCCACTGATCCTGGTGTTTAGCCTGACGTCACCCTTAAACATGTTCTTTATTAATTTAGCTGCTTTTATGTGGCTGGTGTGCTTATGAGGGACGACTAGAGACCAACACTTAACATTATTGATATACATAGCCTTTATCTCCTAATCACCAACTTTATCTAATCCCTCTGATGTCTATGTTGTCTTCCAGTGCTCTGTCAAGTGCGGCAAAGGTGTCCGCCACCGCACCGTGAGGTGCACTAACCCAAGGAAGAAATGTGTTTTCTCCACCAGACCCAGGGAGGCCGAGGACTGTGAGGACTATTCCAAGTGCTACGTGTGGCGAATGGGTGACTGGTCTAAGGTGAGACCCGTTCTGTATATTCTCAGTGACAGGTTTCAATAACATCAGCATGTCCCTGGGTACGAGAACCACTCCAAATGGAATTAGGAGGAATAAAGATTAGAGATAAAGATCATAGGATGTGGAGAATTATATACCACATCCATGTTCAAATCCTAGCTGTCTGTCAGTGATCCTGACCTCTATAGAATTGTATTAATAATGGTAAGATTAATAATAATAAGATAAAATGTATAAAGCACTTAGTACCATGCTTGAGAAAGGAGTTCTCAAAAAATAGTAGCTATTATTATTGTGCCATTGCCAGATTTTGTTGATATTGTTCTTTCTCAGAATATTTTTACATGAAATTCATCTAATAAATAGGATATTTTGAGATAAGTAAATTCAAACTATAATTTTGAATTGTGGCAGTGGAACCAAAAAAAGGGAACTTGTATCTTAATAGGGAAAAGGCAATCTTTTTCTCACCAATTTTTTGGATTGTGTATAGTAGAAATGGAAAGGAACAGAGTTTCAAAATCCTTTGGTGAAATCAAGTGTGCACAATTTATTTGGCAAGTGAACAGTGAGCTTAATTAATAATAATAGTAATGCTTACTTAAAATTCAAGTGAGTAAAGTAGAGCCCATATAATTGAGCTGTAGAAAATGCCTAACATATTCACTTTATAAAGTATTAATAAACCCCGTGTTTTAAGATAAAATTCTGATCCTATCTGAGCAAAAATGGCTCTCACATGCTAGTTCTCAGAAATGTAAGTATGACTCAAATGATCTCATAATCAGTTGTGATATTATATACTGATTATCATGGAATCATAAAACTCTAGGTCTTAGTTCCATGCTCAGATGGACATAATGCTTTAGATGAGACATAATAAATCCTCTCTCCTTCCCCTTTATTTCATAAATGAAAAAAGAATGTGGAGTCTACTGGGGCGTTATGGGAAGCATGATAATTTTTGATAAATAACCCTTAAGAATATTCTGGGAGAAATATTTTCAATATATTATCCCATTTTTCCAGTCTTGCCCCAAATGAAATCCATGACATTTAAAATCTAAGCTATTTTCTTATGATGATTTATGCCTTTTCTCCCTAACGAAAGTTTGCATATTAACATAGCATACGAGTTCTCAGTAAACTATACTCCCTTTCCACCACTTACAACATTGAAATTTCACATGGAGACTCTTTAAAGGACACATCTTTAAACAATGTCAGCAATCCCAGACCACGGAAGCAAGAAATATTCAGCTCAATCTGTGCAGCTTTTGACTGGAGAACCATATAAAGAAACTTCACATTTCAGAGTAAAAAACTTTGAGGCAGCAGAGGATTCCGTGTTAATCACAACTAATTTCTGTTATGTTCAGGATTTGTTTCCCTAATTCTAGGGGAGAGAAATAGAATAGGAGGATAGGCTTGGGAGTCAAGCGATACAGGGGACCGTTTCCATTCCCTCTTTGCATGGTAGGTAGGAAAATTGATGAAGCCACTGAATGCCTTCAGGTCTTTGTTTCTACAAGTAAAATAAGGAAAATGGACCAGTGTTCAAGCTATATGTATCTTAACTTTTCATTCAGCACTGAAAGTAGAGCATAGGATAAGGAAGTAAAAGAAGTACCAGCAAAAGCATGGGGGGTAGCAGGGAAGATCACCTATTGTCCCCTTCCCATTGTAGGAACTCATTTGTTTCTTTTGGCTAGCGAAATTCTGTACATTTTCCTTAAATGAACCAATTCTAGTCTTAAAAGAAAATTGCTAGGATAGATGAGCTATATTTTCCAACTTTGGTAATAGATATAAATATTTTTAATGTTAGATGTCGTTAACCCCCAGTTAACTACAAAGCCCAAAAGATGTAATTGCAAAAAACCAGAAGATTCGGGTTTGATTGGCAGGTGTGACGAAACTGGAAGCTCATACAGTGCCGCGTGTGGAGACAGCGCTCACAAGTCCTGGCTGCTCAGCAGATGCTGCTACTTTTGATTAATAAAATGTGCCTGTTCTGTGGCCTCTGGTTAAATCTTAAACAGAGCCAGATTAACTGAGGAGATCATAAAGAACATTGATTTTGCTTTTTTATGCTAAACCTAAAAAATACATTTTTCCATTTTACCACAATTTATGTACGTAACTCTTAAATATACTTGGATAGAATTACTTTTCATTGGTTTTGTTGTGTTACTATATAGCCACCCAACTGGAACACAGCCTTTTGACTGAGGAAAGAAATGGATAGCTCCAATAAATAGAGTTGACTCTTAAACAACTTGGGTTTTGAACTGCACTGGTCCACTTATATGCAGATATTTTTCAACCAAATGCAGATGGTAAATACAGTGTTTTGGGTTGTGAAACCTGCTTATATCAAGGGCCAACTTTTCATCTACTAGGGTTTCACATGGCTGATAGCGAGACTTGAGTATTCATGCTTCTGTTATAAACAGGTGGTCCTGGATCCAATCCCTTGCATATACATAGAGATGACTATGTTCCTCTTTATTCCTTATGTTTTGGCTTATTTGTTTCTTTGTTTGCTTATTTGGAAGATCTAGTAAGTTGTGCTTTTTTTCTCTCTCTTTAAGAGCTCTTTATATGAATGTGAGTTTGCTCTTTTCCTTGAAGCCATTTTTCCTTCTTTATAACGATTGAGTTTTCAGCATCACAGATTCAAACAGGAGTGTGCACAAATTAAAACCAGTGGCTCCATGTGAATTTTATTGATTTTACCTCCCTTTTATATTTCTATGATATCACTTTCATGTTAAAATGAAGACCATCCCAAAATAATTACAAAGAAAAGGAATAATGCTAGGATTGTTAAGTTTCCGTTCATTGAAGTACTCAGGGACAGAGAGCACACATAAATCTCTTTCTTATCAGCTGTGTCCCTGGGACGGGAACAGCAACAAGACATGGGTGGACTTTTGTGCTCCCCTGAGGTCAGTTAATCTGTCAGCTTTACTCAAATTCTGCTCATATTTTAAAACTATCAATGCTGAAGTGGACTTAAAATTAAGCCTTGGAGCGAGACCCCGTCTCTACTATAAATAGAAAGAAATTAATTGGCCAACTGATATATATATAAAAAATTAGCCGGGCATGGTGGCGCATGCCTGTAGTCCCAGCTTCCCGGGAGGCTGAGGCAGAAGGATTGCTTGAGCCCAGGAGTTTGAAGTTGCTGTGAGCTAGGCTGACGCCACGGCACTCACTCTAGCCTGGGCAACAAAGCGAGACTCTGTCTCAAAAAAAAAAAAAAAAAAAAAAAAAAAAAAAAAAAAAAAAAATTAAGCCTTGGATTGGCTTTAATCAGGAATATTCAATGTACAATCTATAAAGGCTAGCACTGAAAATCTGCTCCTCTGTTGATAAAATAGATCGCTAGGAGAATCAAAAGAAAAATATATCTTTAGCTTCTCCCACCGCCTAAGATTCATTGACCACTATTGGGCAAAGGTGATATTGTCTAAACAGAGGCTGACTAAAACTATGGTGTGTGCCTCAAACTATGTTCACTGCATTTGTATCAGCCTACATAATTTCTAGCGAGTTTATGTTTTGTATAAACAGTGGAAAAATTGCTCTGGGCTTAAGAAGGAAAAAAATAGGTCCAGGTATACTCAAAGAGAGAAATCTGTTATAAAAGTGTTACCTCTGATTTCTAAGTAGATGTAATACAGCCTTTGTTGAATAATGTTCATGTTTATTTCACTGAGACTAGAACATTAGCAAAATAGAACACACACAATGTGGCTGCTTTGCTTTATTTTGGCACAATTACATTCTGACTGTATCTCTGCTAGAGATATGGCCTTAGGCTCTTTCCTGGGAGAACAGAACATGATCCACATGTTTCCTGGCAATATAAATCTGCATTCACTCATTTAAACTGTCCTAAATATGGAACACTAACTTGAAAAAAAACATAGTCTCTTATGTTTATGAAATGACATATTTTCTGTCTGAATTTGACATTTCTGCCTTTATTTGAACTTCTGTAATTTCTGGTTTTTATTATTGGAGGCCAGTAGAGGAACGACTAAAAGAGTATTGTTTTATCTACCTGTTACACAGAATTTGGTTCTTTGTGACGTTTTTATAGTTAGCTTTTCCATGCAGTGTTAACAAGTGATTTAAACGTCTTCAACTCAATTCTGATGAAAAACAAGACAACTTGGAATTATACATAATTACTCGTGTTTTATTCTCAGATTCAATTCATATTCTATAGGCTTATTCAATCCTTTAATATACTAGGAAATTAGTTTTGGCCATATATCAAATTATGACATCATTAATAGATACTTATTTTTTTTTAATTTCAGAATATTATGGGGGTACAAACTCTTTGGTTACATATAAAGCCTTTGCCTTGCCCAAGCCAGAGCTACAAGTGTGCCGATCCCCCATACATTTCTGTCTACACCCACTGGTTGTGAGTTTACCCACCCCCACCACTCCTTTCCCACCTGCCAAGCACCCAATGAGTATTGCTTCCATGTAAGCACCTAAGTGTCGATCAGTTAGCACCAATTTGACGGTGACTACATGTGGTGCTTGTTTTTCCATCATTAATATATTTAATCTCACGAGAGATTTATGAGTCTTTTTGAGATGATATAAGATAATGCTGGAAGCACAATAAATAATTTTGGATGGTTTATGTATGCAGCCAGTTGGGTATATCTTTTTTTAGCAGTAATAGATATAAAGCTTGTGGTGTAATGAGTCACTTTTAATTTATCCTGCAAAAGGAAACCAAAATTGTTTTCAGCACATTCAAATGAATAGAAGATGAATTAGATAAATGAAGAATCTTAAAACTAAGGTAATTCTTCCTAATGGAAGGGAAAATATATTAGCCTATATACATGCTTTTTAGCTATAAAAATTACATTTACATTAACAGGAATTCTGCTTATTCTGAGGTCATTCTCATAGTGAAGATTTTCTAGTTTCATGTAGCTACATATTTAGGAATGGTGTTTTAC